CCAGTTCTCTGCATCTTCCACTGTCACACCAATCATCTCCATATCCTCTGTCATGACACCCATAAACCCCGCTTTGGACTTCTTTTCTTTTTCCCTGGCAGCTCCGTCTTTAGCATACCAATAATGACTCCTCCACACTTATCCAGAGCAATTCACTATCACCTCTCTTAGTTTTTCCCCTCTGATATAACCATTCCTAATCCTGTCCATATTTACATTTCCAACACAAATCTTAACATCACTAAGTCAGCCGCCTCCATCTTTCCTCCTCCTTTTTCTTAAATGGCACTGTTTCCAACACAGCCGCTCTCATCAGTTTGACGCCGAGTATAAAAACTCATCGACCGCTTTACAGCTTTACAACATATTTCCATCTGTATTTCATTTCTTTGGAGCTTGTTTTTGATTGCCTTAAGGAACAGTAGACCTGCATAGGTTTTTCATCTTTTGTTAAACACATTTTATTTTATTTTATAGTGCCAAATCACAACAACAGTCGCCTCAAGGCGCTTTATATTGTAAGGTAGACTCTACAATAATACATACAGAGAAAAACCCAACAATCATATGACCCCCTATGAGCAAGCACTTTGGCGAGAGTGGGAAGGAAAAACTCCCTTTTAACAGGAAGAAACCTCCAGCAGAACCAGGCTCAGGGAGGGGGCCATCTGCTGTGATTGGTTGGGGTGAGAGAAGGAAGACAGGATAAAAGACATGCTGTGGAAGAGAGACAGAGATTAATAACAAGTATGATTCAATGCAGAGAGGTCTATTGACTGTGTGCACGTTAGCATACGCTACTTCCGGTGCGGAAACTCCTGTGGGGAGCTTTGTTTCCGGCGTCCTATTCGCGCCTGGTTTATGGTCCAAAACAAGTTAAGCAAATGAATGAATCAAGCGGCGATTTACATGTCTATAGATGTCTCGGGCATTTACCCAATATATCTGTAAATGATGTTCATCGACTTGTCGATATTTTTTCCCTGCACCTCAGGGCAAAAGAGAAAAGGGATTCAAATGTTATATTTCTCAGCTGTCCCTCGTTTATCCCGGGTGTTATGTTCTAAAAATAACCAGTGATAGGTGAAATCAAGTAGCCAAATTTATTTTTTGACGGGGCAAAATGTTTGGTGGACATCGTGGACATACAGTACTGCACTTCAGAGTCACACTGCTAGCGATCGATGCAGCGATTCTGTACTGTACAGGAGAGACGTCACGGAGGAGATCGTCTGCAGCGATCAGGACGCAGGACACAATGTGATGTAAAAAAAAAATAAGCATGCAAACTTGCACTAAAAAAATCTGCAAAACAGCGAGGTGAAAGGTGAACTGCGTTATTAGCGAGGGACCGCTGTAATTTTTAAGGTAAGTCACAACATACTCTTCATAAATACTAATGTATAGAAACCCTTACCAGCAATCATTCATTTTTTGTGTGGCTTTTTTCACGGTTTGTTAACATGCTGTGTAGGTGTGTACTTGACTAGCTGATATCGACATAACAGGGAAACATCTGGTTTGACTATTCTTCACCTGTAGTTTGAATGCTGAACATTTGCCTGTTTTGATCATGAGACCAGTCACTATACAGAGATGTGCTTCTGAATGTGGACGATGTGTCTCCTGCTGCAGTGATGCAGTTCTGCTTGTGTTGAGTGATGTAAACAACTGATCGATCTAAACTCTTTAAACGTCAAAATTGATCATTAGATTTTTTGTGAGAGCAGTGGTGAGTGTTCCCACCTTCTGCTCTTTGTAACTTAACGCAATCTTTCCGTTTTCAAGTTTTGGACATGATTTTGGAGGATATCGTCGCAGTAGCGATTGACTGCAAAGTAAAGCTACCGGAAATGTACAACCCCACATCCGGTCTCAAACCAGGAAGTTAGCATTTTCTCGTGCACAGGGTCAATTAACACACAGTGAGTGAAGAAGAAATACTAAATGCATCATGGGAATCCCCCAGCAGCCTACACCTATTACAGCATAACTAAAGGAGGTTTGCTTTAGCAAAAAGGAAAGTTTGAAGCCTAATCTTGAAAGTAGAGATAGTGTCTGTCTCCTGAATCCAAACTGGAAGTTGGTTCCACAGAAGAGGGGCCTGAAAACTGAAGGCTCTGCCTCCCATTCTACTTTTAAATACTCTAGGAGCAACAAGTAGGCCTGCAGTGTGAGAGCGAAGTGCTCTAATAGGGTGATATGGTACTACAAGGTTATTAAGATAAGATGGGGCCTGATTATTTAAGAGCTTGTATGTGAGGAGCAGGATTTTGAATTCTGGATTTAACAGTAAGCCAAAACAGGAGAAATCTGCTCTCTCTTTCTAGTCCCTGTCAGGCTTTTCACACACATCTTGTCCTGTTTTTCATTCCAGCAGGTCTAGAGTGATGTTAGGGCTTTAACTATGCTTTTCAAATTCATCTTCCTGTTAGAAGAGGGCTCTCCCTCTCCACTTTTATCACAATAGCAGATCTTCACACTGATGGATTCAGACTGTCTTTATCTTACAATATAACGTTTAAGTGAATTTAGCTAGTTTCATTTGGTATCAGATGTTGCTTTGGGCTGTGAAATGTAACTGAAACACTGATGGTTTAAACAAACACACAAGCCCCGAGTGCCAATAAGAAGTTTATTTAATTCAGTCAATATTGTTAAAAAGAAACAAAAAAACAAACAAACCCAAAAACAATGACATAGCTTGGATATTTTCTTGGTACAACGCCACACTCGCGTTGTCATGAAATGATATCGTAAAACAAAAATCCTTCCTGCGAAACATCTGCAGAGAGAAACGAGTAAGGCAAAGAGGAGATGCTTTCTCTAGTGTTCAAATCCAAGCAGGCAAGAAAAAGGCCCACGTTTCCTCAAAGGTTCAGATGAAATGCTTTAAATTTACAATCTGAGCAATGAAAACAAATATTTACAATTCCCTTTCCATCAGATTTGTTTTATAACAAATTCACGAAAGGAAAAAAACAAAAAAACAAAAACATGGCAAATGGGAGAAAACAAAAACAGGTTTTGCTTTATCCACACTAAAGCACTTTTTGGAGCTACTACATTCACTACCTCGGAGATCGATCTACATACGGACTGATGACAGAAATCTGCACAGCTGTTCCTTCATTGCTACTCTCCTCTATTCTTCTTTTTTAGTCATAAATATCTTTAGAGTTGCTTTTCGCGGTGCTCAACACAACATTAGTGTCCTTCAACCTGTGTGTTATGAAGCAGGAGACTGTGAGCGTGTGTGGTTTCTTCATTTGTCATCCACAGTGAGACCAGAATAATGTGCCCCCCCCCATTTTTGGTTCATAACATATAATCCAAACTATGGCTACAGTAAGCACGATGTGTTCGATATGAGAAGAAACTCTACTGATTAAAACAGCCGCTTTCAAAGGCAATAATAAGCTACATACAGGTGAATATTTCTTAGACCTCAGGCTGCATTTTTCCTGCTGTTACTTCTGCAAGCAGTACGGGAAATTTCCTACAGTTCTACCGAGCTACAAGACTTGTGCCCACTTAGGGCAGTGAGGAAATCAGAGCATGGTTGCCAGGTAGATTTACCTGCAGTTACAAATATTCTCATTTATTTTAAACAGCTCAACATTAAAATAAAGCATCTCAGTTGATATGTCGACCACTTAGGTTTGGATTAGCTTCTATTTTAACCTGTCAAATACTTGAGCCAAAAAACACTGAAGCGTCAACACTGTTTACATGAACAAAGATGAGGGGAAAGAAAAAAAAGCTTCTTAGTCTTCAGAAATCCAAGAAACGGACGACAGTGAAATTTAAACAGACGACAGTGAAATACCAGCGTGTGGCCTTTCCCCCTGCATACGGAGGAAAGGTCAGCTTGAAGGTCACTTATCAGGGAGCGCGCTCGACTCCCAGCATCGACAAGCACTGACGTGCACGCCTGGCTGCTTCTCCGTCGCCTTTTCATTGGCAAATGAAAAACAAAAAGCAATTAAAGGGGACAAACATGAGCGAGGGTGATTCAACTAAACAGACCTTCATAATGACCGGAAGAAAAAAAA